GTGCATTGCTTTCCAATTTTGAAAGAAAAAGTATTCGAAATCCGAGGTCACGTGAGATTAGACCGGCCGGTCTGCCTGTGGAGCGGCCGCCGGATCCTACCTATAGTAGTTCGGGAAACGGCCACCAGATGTCAGCCACTTCTGAGTCACGAGGCGAATCGCTGGACTGTCCTCGCTGTCCCCACACAGAGAAGATCCACAGGCCATTTCTTCCCCCGCTCCCCCTCCCCCCTCTTTAGCGTCAGTCGAAACCGTCAAAACAACACCTGCCTCACCCGTCTCTCTCTCTACCTACTCCCACCCTCTCTCCCTCCCTTTCATCCCGAGCCGCCGCGCGCGTTCGCCGCGCGCCGCGTCGTCCCCTAGCTGATAAGATGCCTTATCAGTATCCCTTCCTCTTTTATCTCTACCGCCTGTCCCGAGCCGCCTCGCTAACTCAGGGTGTCTGCGTTGTTCCCTTACCGCTTATTAGACACCCAATCACTGAGTAGGGCATAGGTATTACCACATTTATACGCAAAAACAATCTTTGGTGGGTTTCAGCACAGCAGGAAAGACTACAGCATATTACACACCTCGCCTATGCATAGTATCCTTGATCGTAGCGATCGTAGCAGACAACAGCCCCCGGTCCCATAAAAATTCAAACATGATCCCAAATAATTGCAGGTTCTCATTTTATATAGTATACTATTTTTATACCTATATAGCAATCACAGTATTTTCTTAGTCTTATTGCATTCTTTGTGACGAAATTTATAAGAAAATATTACAGAAAATGATTCCTGTTTCATTTACTTAAGCTCTTGATCATTTAGACGAAAAACGCATCCTAGCAAAACAACGAAGGGGGAGGGGTAGAGGGACGGAACCTTTATGATAACCAATAAAAACGGAATCGTTTAATTCATTGAGTTCTTTTTTTTCCTTCCGTACCTCCGTCCTTTTTTTTATAAGAATGGCCAGGGCTGAGCACGCGGCCGGCCGACCCATACGAGGCTGCCGACCCATACACGAGCTGGAGTTGCGCCCGGTCGGCCGCTTCAGAGCAGAAGGGTGAACGCGTCACGTGGACGGCTCAATCAGAGCACCAAGTGACGATGCCCCAAATTGGAGGGCTATTGCCCAATACAGTTGTCCAGACAGCCGGGATAAATTTTCGGCCTTGTTTGTTTGTTTGTTTTGTTGGGTTAGGCCCTTTCGGTCCAATGAGACCATTTCAGAGCCGGGAGGATGATAGGATATAGGGGGAGACATTGGTCTGGGCAGGCACCCTAGTGAGTCGCCGGGGCTGAGCCCGTCCAGAGGACAGGCCACCCAGCCCCAAGGCACTCACTGCACCCGGCTACGGGGTGCGCTCCCTCGGGAGCAGCGGTGCCGCTCCAAGGGAGCAGCCCGCATGAGATAAAGTTGCCTGTCCAGCCCGGAGGGGGTGCGGCGTGGAGAAGGATTTCAGTATCCTGAGGATAGAAGCACGGAACGGTGAATTTTCGGCCACCGATTTTTCAAATATATCCTATATAGACCGAGGAGTTTCTTCCTCCAAGCACACGTTAATTACAGGGTCTTTCATAATGAATGTTGCTTTTGAACATTTAGTTAGGAGCTCTTATTTTATCACTTCCACGTGAATTTTATGTGCGTATTGTTGCAAATTGATTAGGGTTTGTCCCAAAAAATAAAAAATTCACAACACCAATTTTCCTTCACGCAAAAACAGTGTGTCAACAGTAACACCACTAAAACGCATTACGGATTACGGTCGACGGACAAGTCTTCATCCATTGGCTCTTCCCTGGGTCAACACTGAACGGGGTGGCTTACCTCAGGCTGCTCAAGGAATGATTCTGCCTCAGGCCAGGGACAAGTTTCAAAGAGACGGCCTGTGGTTCCAGCAGAATGGCGCCACAGTGCACACCACGGCACCTGTTGCGCCAGTGGCTGATCGAGAATTTCGAAGAGCCCGTTATCAGCCGCCTCACCGAGCGACCATGGCCACCACGGAGTCCTGACCTCTCCCCGCTGGACTACTGGCTTTGGGGAGTCGCATTGGCAGATCTGAGACAAAATCCCCCTGCAGCCATCCACTGCGAACCACAGTGGAGAGGTTTGCTGGAAGCCTGGACCCAGACGTTGTGAGGCGCGGGGTGCGACACCTTCGTCAGAGGGCCGAAACCTGTGCCTTAATTAAGGGCGATACAGTGGAAAATTCCTGAGGAGCATTAAAATGAAAGTTGTGTGTGCAAAAACGCTAATGTGTTTCTGTTTCATGTGATGGTACATATTACATGAGGAACATATATGTACTGAGAAATAGCTCTTTCAAAAGTAACATTCATTTGAAGGACCCTGTAGCTATGCTTCAGCTTGCACTTGATGTAATCAGCGCATATTGCTTTAGACAATTTATCATGTATCGACTCCCTCGGCTGTATTGTGCATTTTGACCTTTCTCAAAACACTTTGGCAAATTTTTACAAAAACGCAGCATAAAAGTCGGTGCTCGAAAAACGCCCTCTGTTATCCCCATCTGAAGTTAAGGTTCAGAGGTCGCTCACTGGTGGATGGCACGGTGTATTTGTGTAAGGGTACACGTCTACCATATCCGACAACACATGATTTCGATACACTGATGCATTACATTCGTCCAGCGTGCTTGGCACGAGAAAAGTGTGTCATTATTCTGTTTTCTGTGTTATCAAACGTGTCGAACGTCCCGCCAAGCGTGAAAATACACAGCCTTATTGTGTTTTGGGTGCGATTAACACATGACTGATGTGTTACCAGTACAGAACATGCCCTCACTGTGTCGATTTGTTTTCAGTGTAAATGTGTTACTAAATGTAACACAAATTGCAAGTGAAAGAAGGAAACACGTGGTGAATATGTAGTTTGTTGCCGGGGCGCAGTTGTAGGGACTTTGACTTTGGTTGGAAAGGCTGGCTGCCAAAGCCGGGCCCCGAGAGGAATCGGGCGCTCAATGCAGTCACGGCTGAGTAACCGGCCGGCCGACCCATACGGTCAAGGCGCGGTCAGGGCTGAGCACGCGGCCGTCCGACCCATACGAGGCCGCCGACCCAAACAAGACCTGGAGTTGCGCCCGGTCGGCCACTTCAGAGCCGAAGGGTGAACGCATCCCGTGGACGCCTCAATCAGTGCACCAAGTGACCATGCCCCAAATTGGAGGACAACACAGCTGTCTAGACAGCCGGGATAAAGTTACGGCCACCGATTTTTCAAATATATCCTATATAGACCGAGGAGTTTCTTCCTCCAAGCAGACGTTAATTTGCTATGCTTCAGCTTGCACTTGATGTAATCAGCGCATATTGCTCTAGACAATTTATCATGTATCGACTCCCTCGGCTGTTTTGTGCATTTTGACCTTTCTCAAAACACTTTGGCAAATTTTTACAAAAACCCAGCATAAAAGTCGGTGCTCGAAAAACGCCCTCTATTATCCCTATCTGAAGTTAAGGTTCAGAGGTCGCTCAATGGTGGATGGCACGGTGTATTTGTGTAAGGGTACACGTCTACCATATCCGACAACACATGATTTCGATACACTGATGCATTACATTCGTCCAGCGTGCTTGGCACGAGAAAATTGTGTCATTCTGTTTTATGTGTTATCAAACGTGTCGAAGGTCCCGCCAAGCGTGAAAATACTCAGCATTATTGTGTTTTGGGTGTGATTAACTCATGACTGATGTGTTACCAGTACAGAACATGCCCTCACTGTGCCCATTTGTTTTCAGTGCACGGCCATTTCAGTCGCCTTCTGTAACGATTCAGGCTCCGACAGCAGAAGGCTCTGAATCAAATCTGAATTGATTCCGCACACTAGCCGATCACGAATCATTTCTTCCAAAAACGAGCCAAATTGACAATCCCGTGACAGCTGTTTCAGTCGGGCTATATAGTCTTGCACCGGTTCATTTATGCTACGGGAGCAAGAGAAAAGTCTGAACCGCGCCACAGTGACCGACGGTCGCGGATGGATGTGCTCTCTCAATGCATACCTAGTCATATGAAACCTCATCGGGTCTCACCGGGGACAAAATTGAACGCAAAATGCCATAGGTTCGGGCTCCCAAGTTGTTCAACAAAATTGCCCTTTTCTTTACATCCTCCTGTATCTCGTTTGCAACAAAAAATTGGACCAACCGTTCGATGTACTCCTCCCAGTTGTCTTCTGCCGCTTCAAAAACTTCCAACCGGCCGAGTGGCATCTTGCGGATCTCGTCTCGTCGCCAATGTTATCCCCGCCACCAGAGCCACACACGCTCGTCTCTCGGCATGAACGGCATGAACTGTATTCTCCCCGGCCGGACGCACACCTCCAGGCAATCACGTGATTAGGGCGGAGCCTCGACGGCACAGCGGCCGCGGCCCGCTCCCGCGCACCGATCCCCGAACCGTATTCGCCCGTCTACAACATAAGGCATGCTACGCGTTTTGCAGAATAAGCTCTAGGCCACCTCTCATCCCAGCCTGGAGTCGCTGAAGACTCACATCATGACATCATGGGAGGACAGGAAATGTCCTGCATCGTCAAAACCCGCAGGCGTTTCCGCCCTTGCGTCGAGGCCGTCGTCGGCACAGACGGTGGTTACCTACAATGAATGGGCACTTAGCAGAAGCATGTGGCTTGGTGTTTCTGGTCATTGTTTTGTCTCTTGTTGAGTATCTATGGACCAAAGGCATTTATTTTAAAAATGTTGAAAAGCGCCATGACTTTCCGGATACCCTGTAGACCTAACATGGCGCGTCATATCACGCGTAATTTTGGCAGCCACCATTGCCCTTTCACCTTTGTATCAGACCCTGAGTCGGAGTCGGAGTCGGAGTCGGTCAGGAGCCCGGAGTCGGAGTAGGAAGAGCACTACCACGACTCCGAAACCCTGCCACTGTGTCAATCGGCCCAGGTCGCACCAGCAGCATCAGGCACCAGTACCTAGCAAGTACGGTCTTCTAGCGGTACACAATACACGAAGTCATAGACACAAACAATCATTGTATTGTGTACACAAACAATCATACAGGAGGCACATGGTTGGCCAGACATTTGACGAAAAGTCGCGGGCAGTGGCGTAAAGTGTAGGTCCAAATTGAGGCCTGAGCTAGTGAAATTCTGTTCGGCGGGTACCACACGAGCACGAGCACTGGTGCACATGGACCGCGCTGCTAAGCCGCCGTCAGCCTTTCACCCAGTCACGGATGCAGCGATCCATGTTAAAGCTCCGTTCTGCCATCATGCAACTGCCGCTGGCGGCAGTGTGCGAGGAAACATATACAAGATGAGTGCAATAATAACACTGTCGACGGCGGTACTTAAATACATTGCGTACATATGTACTAAAGATGAGCGGTATCGGCCACCTCGTAGGCGGTGGAGCGCACAAACAGCTGGCGTGCGGCTTCGGCGAGCTGCTCAGCTGAGCGGAGCCGACACTGCACGGTCTCCACAGCGCCTGGCTGCCAGGCCCGACTGGGGTCGCCATCGAATCCGCCTGTGGAAAATCCCACCCCCGACGTCACTCACGCATCCCACGACGCTGGAGCAATGAGCAAAGGCACCTAGCATTCTTCCACCTATAAGCAAACGGACCATTGGTCAAAAGCAGGGCGCAGAGAGCCTGGTTAAAAGCACTAGCCATTAGATGTCGGCGAGGTCGCCCCGGCTGAGGCGACAGGCGGCCTCCGGTGGCGCCGGCGCTCAGGGGCTGGCCCGGCCGCCGGACGGCGCTCTCTGCCCCGCTCCTCGGTCGCCGGCGGGCCTCTGGAGCAGGTCGGATAGCTGCGCGCTCAGGCGGCCCACGTCGGCCTGCAGCCGCTCCAGCTGCTCCTCCAGCGACTGCGGCTTCAGCACCAGGTCCAGCAGCTGCTGGCGCGTCGCGGCCGGCAGCTCAGACAGCTGCTGGCGCCGCTCGCCCACGCAGCCGTCCAGAGTCAGCCAGCGGGCGCAGAGTGACGCGGCGCTGCCACACTGGCGCTTGCCGCACGCGTGCGCCACGTCCCGGCAGGCGAGCGGCCGCTCTGGCCCGTTCGGCAGAAACCGGTAGCGGCCCGAGCTGAGCGCCGTGTGAAAGAGCAGCACGCGCCGACGCACTCGCTCCTTGAGGCCCGAGCAGGCGCCCTGACCGGCAGCCCGCAGCGGCCCGCCAGGACGTTTCAGCGATGACGGCAGGTACGACAACAGGAGAAAGTTTTCCAGGTAGCCGAGCAAAACGATCCGGTTGTCGGCGGCCATGACGGCCGCCTGCCGCGAGATGGCCTGCGTGTCGTCCACCGCCAGCGACGTCAGCAGGTTCATCAGCACGATGAAGATGAGGAACAGGAAGCAGATGAAGAGCAGCCCGCCCGAGAGCACGTGCCCGGCGCGGACGCCGGATGCCTCGTCCACCACCATCGCCTCGCTGAGATCGCCGTAGTCGAACTCGCCGGTGGCCATGGCGATTACCTTCGGCATCGAGACGCCGAACGTGGCGAAACTGCTGACGCCGTCAAACACCAGGTAGAAGGCGATCGCGAACGCCATCACCAGGCCAAAGTAGAGGAAGATGAGCCGCCCGAAGCTGAGGGCGATGCTCTCCATCATGGTCTTGTAGGGAGCCAGTGCGGGTGTCCTACCGACGTTCATGGCCACCTCCAGCCAGGCGGCAACCATGACCCAGGCGGAGAGGTGGCGCGCCGTTGGCAGCGTCAACGGCGCCCACAGCAGCGGGTAGCCCAGCGCCAGCACGGCCAGCTCAGCCCAGTTCTCGGCGCTGAGCAGGTACAGCGGGCCCGTGATGAGCATCTGCAGCAGTTCGCGCGCCGTCAGCAGCGCCAGGCCGGCGGTGAGCGCAGCGCGCAGCGCGCCGCCCGTGGCCCAGCCGCCCAGCGCCGCGCGCCCGTCCAGCCCAAACACGTACACCGTCAGCAGCACGGTGAAGGCCAGGAACAGCAGCACGTTGCAGTAGTGGAACCAGCGGGCGCGGTCGTACTTGAGGTAGAGCAGCGCCGTCAGCACCGGGTGCTGGAGCAGTGCGCGCAGCTGAGGGTCGGCGCGCAGCCGCATCAGCACCGGCATCTCTGGCGCCTTCTGCGGCCGCAGTGGCGGCGCCAGGCACGAGAAGTCCACCTGCACAGACAATCAGGACGTAACTAAAGGACACTGGGAAGGTACACAGAAAAGTGGGGTACACGGGACACTGGGGTACATAGCCCGATCCCGGGTGGGAGTTTCAGTCAGCTTCACCATGGTCGGTGGCAGGCGCGCACACAGGATTTTTGAATGGGAGGGGCACGACCAGCGAACTGGGCCCCCCATGCCGAACGCCCCCCCCCCCGCCAAAAAAAAAAAAAAATACGGCCTACCGGGTTACATTTCGGTTGGCGCATGGTAAAACAATTATTTCGGTACCAGCTTAATTTTCAAAACATTAAGGTATAATATTTTTTTTACGCTGGCATGTTTTATTCAACTGCGACTCAGACTCGGTACCTATGACTAATCATTGTGTGCGCCCTCGGTCGGTGGGGGAGGGGAGCATACAGATTGTCCCAAAAATAAGGTTATCATTTAAAATTGGGATATCTCGAGAAATAAAAGTTGGAATGTCTTCAAATTTTAGCAATTGCAAGGTACATGCATAAACTTATTTTCTGGCATATTGAAACCACTTTTGATAATAGGTAATAGGACTAAGCAGGATGCAGAAAAGTGAAGTGATGAAATTTCAGCTTCAGACAACAAAGCGTAAATGCCAACCAGTGTTCGGCGCTAAGAAAACCCCTTAAGCTTGCCTCATCTCCAGACACATTCATAAGTTCCTCACAACCGGCCCCGCACCAGAACAGAGTATGAAGTGTGCACAAGGTATCTATCATGGGCCCAACGTTCTTCGAGGATGACAGCCGGAATGCGGTGACGGTAAACCAAGAGAGGTGGCCAAGGGTCCTCCAGCGGCTATTCAGCTCGCAGCAGCAGCATCGCTGTGACAGAGCTCACTATCAGCCAGCAGTGGGTTCAGCATGCAGAATGTCCTTCAGACCCCGCCGTGCCCGTGTCTCCCAGAGTATACGCCAGACAGTGTGAGTGCCGCCATTTCATGACACCCGCACTCCGCAGTCACCTCACTAAACCTCGCACCGACGGAGGGGGGAGGGGCGGGCGGATATCCACCCCCCGTGGTTTTTCGTAAATAGCGGGAAAACCACGGCGCGCCGCGAAATTTGGCATGATTTCTCCCTCATCAATTTTACATATGTTTGAAGAAATGAAAAATACATATGTTTACATATGTGTGCAAGTTTGAACTTCCTACCTCTCAAGGTCAGATCACCAGGTCACTTCGAACGACCCAACCTCAAATCACTTTTTTGCAACTTTGTCACCGTGTCAGAGCTACAGTAGATGACTGAGGCCTTTGAAAGTCGCAGGATGTAATGAAGTCATTGATAGCTACAATTTGTGTGTCTCAGAATTTTGATATCGATGACCTAAGGTCAGATCAATTTCTTGACCTCCCCATTATAAGTCAATGGGGAAAATAAACTCCGTTTTTTTTTTCTCACTAAAACGCGTCGGAATGACCCAATATGCCAAACATGACTCCATATACGATCAACCTTGACTACCTTGAGGCCTGTTTTGCTGTTGGGCAGCTGTATTAGCATATGCCGAAGTATGCCTTTAGCATTAGCGCGAGAGTGCGGTAAAAGCTTTTTGGATTAAACCGCATAATGTTGAAGGCAATTGGTCAAAGGTTTCGGCCCATGGCAAAACATTTTATCAGCGAACTTTTGAAGCATTTCCTGAGACGGAGAAAGGCGCTGGAAAAGAGCTTAACTGATAGAAATCTAACAAGAACTCAGGGTATATTGAATTAGAGGGTAGGACCAAGTTTAGTATGCATGGTCTCAGCAATTATCTTGTTTTATATGGCGGTTTTCATTTTCACAATATTATTTTTGATATGAAGTTTGTATATCTCGGTTTTACGAAAAATAGTAAGGCAACAAAGATAAATTTCGTGAAAAAATAATTTTAGTTGGAAACATCCATTCTGGTATGCAGAATTCAGTATGAAGCCCAGTATGGTGACCGTCTAGTGTGCTTCCAAAGCTGAGTACCTGATATCAACAGGAGTTGTTTACTATTTTGCGTTACGTTGCTAAGTGGTTGCTAGTGAGCTAAGGATACTCTCAGAGTATATAGAACACCGGGTACAGTCAGAGTTTGGGATATGGTAGCAGTCAAATGTCGACAGAAATGGCGAACAAGTTACAAATAGAGGTAGGTTTATTCCACGGTTATACTTCCTCTTGAAAACTGTTGGCACACATGACGTCATAGAGTAAAAAGTCCCCATTTTAGGTCATTAAGACGAATTTTTGACATTATTAAATAACAAAATTATATTGTGTTACCTGTTTTTTCTTATATTGTTCCAACAATCATTATTTATTATCTCTATTGGCCAATTATTTGTTGATTACGTCATCTGGGGCCGCGAGTCGGCGAATGCAGTCGGTCGGAAAAAAACACGTGTTTTCGGCGGCCGAGGTAAACAAATTACAGTATCAGTATAGGTAGCTTTGGGTGATATGCTATTTCTATTATTGAAATCGCGTCTCTTGCCGTCAGTACTTTTTCGTCGCAGTGATTTTCACTTTTAGAATTTTCTTCAATAATTGTGGTATTCAGTTCTGCCTCTGATTTGCAATGGCAATTATTATTTGAAGTGAAGAAGGCCTTGTTATGGCCCTGCACAACCCCGCTGAAAAGTGAAACTGAAACGGCTCAGGCTGAAATAACAGTATTGCAACTGGTTTCAAATTATTCTTCAAATTTCCTCGAAGTCAGGCTTAGACCTATGAATAACATCAGATTTGCAAGCATGTTCAAACTGCTCCGTTAATCTCCAGAACATCGGGCTCTCTTCTGATGCTTACAATGCCTGTGGCTGCAACATTATATTGCTAAGAATGGCAGTTCAGCAAGATGTATGTGCAGGCACAGGCACTTAGCCAATGCACAATGCAGTGCAGATTAATTGTGGTCATAGTCATGTCATAGTCATAGTCAGGTTTATTAAGAGCTCCATAAAACATGGCTTTTCTGCCCTCTCGTCAATACAGGTTGTAAAAAAGACGAACACATAAACTATCTAAAAATATGTCCTAAAATAGCGCTCATCAAACGTGTACACGAGTCACAGACGATTCATGCACATAGCATTCCAAACAGACACGGCTCTGTACGGAAAAGTACGTTTTCCACGCTCGGTCCTTACTCTAGGGAGCTCCAATTGACCAGCGCACACACCGCGAGTGGCCCTGACTGACACCTCAGAGCGACTGCGCACTAGATCGGCCAACGCCGGAGGCGCCCCGGACGACATCAGCCTGCGCAGCATGGCCGCGTCCCTCTCCTCTAACATGCCGTCAAGACGCTGCCACCCCAACGACTCCAGGGCGGGAGTGACGTGCTCACGCCGGGACAAGCCAGTAACTATACGGGCTCCAAAATTTATAGCCTTTTGCACTCGCTGGCGGAGAGTAACAGAACAGCTGCCCCATACCGTTAAGCAGTAATGCAAATGGGGAAACACGAGCGCCTCAATCAGTAACTTTTTTGTTTCAAAGGGCAACCTGTGTCTTCTCTTAGAGAGACCAACGAGAACGAAGAAACAGCGGCGAACAACCTGAGATACTTGTTTTCCCATGATAATTCAGAGTCAACAAATAAACCGAGGATTTTTGCGAATGGTGAAGGACTTAGATCTGCATCGCCAAATCTTATGCTAAAGGAAGTACACTTCTTCTTCTTTGGTTTGACTACCAAAAGCTCAGTTTTGCTTGGATTTACTTTAAGCCGGTTTTGCGTGAACCAAAGAAGTGCCACATCAAGTGTGCCTTCAACGCGCTCTTTGAGACATGCTAAATTTTCAACTGAGTCGCAATCTAAAAACTGTACGTCATCTGCGTATGTCACCTGCTTGCCAAAAGGTAAATGAGCCGTCAGATCGTTAGTAAATAGTAAATACAGCTTTGGGCCGATTAGTGAGCCCTGTATTACACCGTGCGTCACTGGCAGTGTCCCGGCGCGGCTACCCTGAATGCTCTGAGTCCTGTTCCTCAGCCAGTCCTCGAACCAATGTTTGTCTACACCGTACCAACCTAATTTATCTAACAGTCTTACATGTTCTATGCTATCAAAGGCACGAGATGTGTCGGCTGCTATCAAAGTGGAGACATGACCATTTTCCATTGCAGATGAAAGAAAGTTTATAGTGTCAATCATAGCCGTTTCAGTCGAGTGATGACCTCTAAAGCCGTGCTGGTTATCACACAATACATGGTAATGGTCGATATATGAAGACAGTTGAATACAAACACACTTTTCACAAAGCTTCGCTGGAACACTGAGGATCGAAATAGGTCTGTAATTCCCAGGATCACATCTGTCTCCCTTCTTGTGCAACGGCACCACGCTTGCATGTTTCCATCCAGCCGGAACGTCACCCGACCGTATCGAACAGTTAATCACGTGGAGCAGATGAGGAGCGACAGTGGGGAAAGTTGCACGCAGCATCTGAACTGTGACGCCGTCACTTCCACTTGCACGTGAATTGCCCATGCAGGGGCGGCGCCACGAATTTTTGACTGTGGGGTACTAGGGTGAAAAGGGCCCATGCATAGTGAAAGGAGCCCATGGTGAAAAAGGCCCTTGCACGGTGAAAAGGGCCCATACATTTATCATGGCGTAACCCACGCTGTGCTGGGGGGGGGGGAGCGTTTTTACGCCCCCCCCCCCGTCAGTTTTTTTTGCGAATATCTCAACATGTTCATACATCATTTCCGCACATGTTGTGAAAATCTCAGACCCGGGTCTCCAAGGTCAGGTCACCAGCATGAGTCAATGGGAGAAAATTGATATGCGCCTCTTTTGTACAAATGTCGTTCAAAACGCTCTCAACCATCGGTTCATACGTAAACATAACACAATGAATCGGAAAACTGCACCTGCGACCCCTCTGTATGCCCCTGAGGTCATCTCAGGTCAAGAACGGTCACCAGCAGTTTTGTGGCCATAACTTTTGATAGAGACGTGCTAGAGCGGTGAAAACACGTCAG